TATGATCTAATTTAAATAAAAGATCAACTGATGATTTTAATTCTCGATGTAGAATAGATTTAGTAACTATTTCTTCTAGTAACTTAAGGTTTGAAAGACGTTTTTTATATAAATCAATGAAATTTTGAAGATATTATTTTTATTTTTGTTGATTTTCATTATTTAATGAAATTGTAGATTCTAAACTTTTATAAAACAAACTTCATATTGATTTTTTTATAATAGTGTTCAGTATCATTTATATAAACCAATTCTGTTTTTTTCCTTCTTTCCACTCAGCTATAAGTTTAAGAACACTTTCAAGATCATGGAATTTTCTATCTTCAGTCTTACCTTCATATTCATATTCATCTGATAATTACACTTTTCCATAACCTACTTTAAGTTATTCCATTCTTAAATTCACCATGATAAAAGAATTGAACCGTGATTTTTTAAATTATAATCATATTCATCAAGTTTATTATCTTTCCATGAGCTATAATAATATTCTTCTTTATCATTAATACTAGATGTACTTTATCCTTCACGTAATTTTTCGTTAATTGTACCATCATAAATTTTGTTACCGATCGATAAAAGATGTTAATAAAATTGATCTTCTTTCCTGTTAATCATTGAAATTTCAGGCAAATATACTATATCAACAATATCATTTTCATCACTACTACTATATTTATCATCATTTTAATGATATACTTTAATAGATCTTATATCTTGAAGAGAAGATTTCTTTTCTACTTCTTTACTTTCAATATTAACAAGATTTAAGTTGGGACCTAATGATGGATTTTTATAAATTAAAGTCTCTTTCTTTTTCTCTTAATATATACAATAATACGTCTTGCTAATAAAAGAATCATATGAGTAACGAAAGCAAAAACCAAAGTGATGTTGTCGACAGATGAAAGAAGGAAATACCGTTTCTTTCTATTAACAGTGGCAACAATTTGGGATACATTCGATTGGTCTGAATCACTTATATTATGTGCTTCATATTCACTCGTGAAATATTTATGTATTTTGAAATTCGCAACGTCAGTACAATATTTTAATTTATTATTAAGTTGCAATAATTATATCCGACGTAGTATTAAGAAATTATTACAAGAAAAAGGAAAGATTTTGAAATATGTAATAAATAATACGAGAAAATATAAAAGAAAAATAAATTATGATAAAGTTTTTAGAATAAATTTTAGAAAAATATGATCAGTTTATTAGTCAAGAAGAAATACGACTTGCTGAAATAAAGCAACAAGCTATAATATTATCAGGAGAAATAAATGAACTTTGCCATTTAATTCGAGATCATTTAGGAAAAGGACAAATATTAAACTATAAAAAATATAGTTGCTAAACTTTACTATCATATTGCATATACCAACAATATAGTTAAGAACAACAAATAATAACTGATAAGATGAATATTGTAAAAGAAGTAAAATATCTTTGAGATTCAATTTGCAATCTATATTTAATATTGGATATTTAACAAAATAGTTTACGAGAAATTTCCGAAAATGTAATCGCACTTGTCAAAACTGGAAATTCTAATGAACATATCAGTTATTTTGAAAAGAATGGGTTTTGGATTAACGATGGAATAAATTTAAGACCTATTAGAATTCGAAATATTATTCTTGAGAACATAAGATTTTATGATACAAGTGGGCTAATTCAGAAAAATGAAAGAAATGTAAAACAAGTAGAAAGTATTACGAAAGTTGCACATGTGCAATATGATCGTACGTCCATTAATGTAAAATATTATGTATTAAACATAAAAAAAGAGAACAGCTGAAACAGAATTCAGAAAAAAAGATAAATTTCTAGTAATACCTATGATTTTGTTAATTATGCCAAAAATACTTTAAAAAACATTGTAAAGTCGATAGTTAATCAATTTAGATATGAAACGCTTTTGGAATAAATAATTTACCATCATTTCTATTTTAATCTTTTATCGGAAATAATTGAATATAATTTAGATATTTGTTTTATAGATCAAGTTGAATATTACATGGATGTATAAAGAAATATGACTCGACAAGACTTTAAAAAATCTAAAAGAAAAAGAAAATCTCTGGAAAAGTTAATTTTGGATTTCTGAGAAAATAAAAGAATTTTTTAAATTAGATATTTGTAAAAAATCAATTTTGAGTGTCTTGTTTTTTACAGTATATTTATTACAATAAAACTACAAGTCTTTGTTTTTTGTGAATTACTTGACATATTGGCAGATAATGATGTATTTTTTAAACATTGATCAAAATTTAAAAGATATTCTTTTTGTTAATGATCAATTTGACTTAAAAATTAAACGAATAAAAATTATTCATTTTTGTGATTTATTGAGACAAGCTTATGAAGTTATAGGATACGACCTACTTCAAGAACGTTATTGTCAAGGTATTTATCGCTTTTCATGAAAAAAAGTAAATTTTTAGAAGAATTTTTTCTTCCTAGGGAATAAATTATAATTCCAAGAATTTATCAGAAAAAATATCTTTTTTTATTGATTGAATATGATTTTTATTAAATTTTGATCAAAATAATATTCCTAAAATATTAGGAAAAGCAATTGTTCTTGACGAGAATTCAAGACAGTGACGATTATAATGCTTATATTTTTGAAAGATAGTCTTTGGCTTAGGGTGTGGGTATGAGTATGGGTCGGGCTGTGGGTGGGGGCACCATCAGTTTGATACAAAACAATGATATAAGTATGCACGTGAATGTGAATCTTTTATTCATTCCCAAGAGCACCAACACCCTTGTGTATGATGATCTAGATCACGATCTATGTGACTATATCACCAATACTGACAGAAATTTGCTATTCAAAATTCACCCGTCAAAAGATTAATTATAAATATTAATAGATTATTCTGTTACAGATTCACATAACTTAAGTTTATCATCATTCTTTTGAAAGAATGTGATCAAAAATCATCAGATTTTTCTTCACTCTGAAAACATTATAAAATGAAGGCAACTTAGTAGTATACAGTTACCTTGATATTGGTTTATTAAGATCTCATCCTTTTTGTGAACAAAAATTGAAGAAATGTCAGAACTCTCTGTGCTGTATTGACACAAAAATTAGACAACTAGGTTTAGCTAATGCATAATATTTAAACAATATTTTTCAGCAAGATTCGATTGCACTTAAGACAGATCAATGACTTGCTAGTTTTATTTTAATTCAAGCGAAGGTAGATTCTATTTATATCGAACTAATTTTAAATAACAGAATACCTCATATATATATATATATATATATATACCAGAGATAGGAGCAAAGTGGTCATCCACAATTAGGGTGATTCATTTGTTATGTTCTGTTGCTCATGCACGTTCATTTGTGAAAACAACGAGAGATTACACAATATTTCTGTAAATGGAACAAGGTATATTAACAACAATATACAAAAGTGATATATAACACTCAAGGTAACTACCATCCTTCACATTACTAATAACACCACAATATTTATAAAAACACATTATACAATCCTTTGATCAATTTTATTTCTTATTCAACGTCGATTTTCAACTGTTTTATTAGCTTCTATCATTCTTATAATTCAATTTGCTTAACATTTATAATAACATATAAATTAGAGCTGTTCGTTATTAATTAGTACTTTCATAAAGCCCAACTCTCATAGTACGTTCGATCGACCTGGAAATTTTTTTTTTCACAGATACTGATTACTGTTTAGGGTGCATACTTCTTTTTAGTTTGAAAAATATGAGCACTATTGATTTTTGGCTGACTGTACAAAAGAAGTTTTACTAATTATTTTCGATACTCTGAAGCTATTTCTCTTTTGATCTATGCAAGATCGATAAAGCATGGGTAATATGTCATGCTGAATCGAATGGTGATATTTGTTGTTGGGTTCAAGCTGATCTGAATCTGTTATCTCAATGTTTCCAAAAATTCTACGATCAGCCTCTGTATAATGAAGGAATCGACGTGTCAGAAATATTGAGATAACAATCTGAGATCAGCCAGTTTAAATCCAAAAACAAATATCACTATTCGACTAAGCAAGGTAAATTACTCCTGCCTAGCTGCATTTTAGAGTGATCACAGGTTAATTGACTAAAATTTGAAGTCTAGGAAAAAGTCTTATAATTCTCGACAAATAGCTTCAGAATATCATTTTCGAAAATTTCCATCAAGAACTCATCTGATTCGTCTATTGCTGAGCAATCAAACATTGGTACATTTGAATGATAAAAACCGCAGATCATCCCTCTGATATTTCTATCAAAACAATATTTTGATTATTTATTTGAATGAAAGAAAATAATAAGAAACACAAATTCTGAAACTTTCAAATAATTTCGGATCAGTTGGAAACATGTTATCTCGTAAAATTTATTGCAGTCTATTTTGAATTGAATATAATTTATTTCGTTTATATAATCCAGATAACTTCTTTTTTTTTTAAACTATATCCAATGTTTATTTATAAAACAAAAAAATAATCAAACTTCAATTAGTATCGAACGCGTTCATTTGTTTAGAACTAATTGGTATAACTCTATTTTGTATTCACACACGCATAAATATATAAACACATCACAATGTGCGTGTATATTCCAACAATAATCATGACAGATAGCCATCACATAAACACATAGAGTTACTTATCGTCAAGATAGATAGAAGAAGAAAAAAAAAAGAAAAGATCAATGAATCAAATACCGCTATGATGATATTGAAGAAAAAAGAAAATCAATTTTTATTTAGTGAAGATGAAAATTACAATACATGCTGTTCTTTTAAAAAAAAAACCTTTTCTTTTGTATATATGTTATTTTTACAAAGCAGAAAAAGAATAATCTGACCAAAGGCTCACAACAAGAAGACGCACTTTTGTCTGAGTCAAACTAAAAAGAAAAAAAAAAGAAAACCAACACAAACTAATTTCAAGTATAATATAGTAAATTGACTTTATCGAAAAAAAAAAAAGTGTTCTCTCTTATGCATAATCAGCTGTTGTACGAGATGGTGAATGAATATCACGTTGAGTATACATTGGATAAAATGTTTGTCGTGCATATGGACTCATTCGTGTTGTATGATGATTATTTGATGATGATGTTGGTTCATTAACTGATCGATAATTTAAATCCGATAATTGAGAATAAACAAATGCATCAGCAGCATAACTTGCTAGATCAGGATTAACCAATGAATAAGCTGTTGGTGAAATAAAATTAACTGTTGGATCTAAAAACGAAGAAAAATTTTACTAAATGAATAATGTTCTCTTTTTTTTTTTGTTGTGTCCTCATTCATTTTACCTTGAGGATCAGACATAAAACGAGAAGTTATTGCTGCAGCAGCAGCTGTATTAAATACATTAGATGTTGTTTGTGAAGTAACATTTGTTGTTGAAGAATTTGTTGGTATATTTGTTTGTGTTGTTATTGTTGAATTATTATTCGATTTCGGATGAGAACGAAGTAAACGTTGATTTGAATTTAAATGATTTAATACTTCTGCAACACTAAAAATAGATTTTTTTTTTTTTATTTAAAAAGAATCAAGAAAATTTTCATACCAATCTTCAGGATCACAATCTCTAAAACCTTTAGCAAATGGATTTGATGCAATTTTTAATTGTGTTATACGATGATTTTGATAAGCAGTAACACCAATAAATTTTGTTTCAGGAAATGTAAATGTACGAAATGCTTGAGTTTGTTGAACAAGTAATTCATCAGCTTTTGATGATGGAGAATAAACACAATGAACTCGTGGTTGATAACGATGCATTGAATTAAGAATAATCTTTATATAAGAAAAATAAAAATAATAATAGAAAAAAAATTATTTTAAAAAGTCTATTTTTTTTTTGTTTCGTTGTTGTCTTACATGTCCATTTTCATCAAGTAAATTATTTGTTAATTTAAGTTTATCAAATGATACAACATTTTTCATCCATGATGCACCTGTTTGTGGTGAATCAGGATGAACATGAAAACGACCTGGACAATGTGGATCAGCTTTACCAGCAACGACCCAACTTGAACTTTAAAAAATAAACATACAAAAAGAATTGATTTTATTTAGAAAAATTAAAATATTATTTTAGCCTTTTGTTTTTACCTATAAAATGCATAACGATAACGTTTATCATCTAATGGAATAAAATCTACCATAAGTAAATATGTTGCTGTTGGATCCATTCCATAAATTTTCACTTGTAAAGTTGGAAACATTCGTCTAAAATAACATAAGTCGTTAAGACTTGTTATCTTGGACGTGATTGATAATCTACTGTCATAAGGATATGTGCATTCCTTCGAGCTATCAGTAGCACATGTTCGCAAGAACGACGTGCTTTTCTTTAGAATAGTGTGAGATGATCTCAAGAGACACCGCTCGATTGAGCCATTAGCATGAATCTTATCTGTTTGTTGTCTCGAATGATATTCAATATGACTCTTTTTTTTTCTTGCTTTTCATTACATTTGATTTGTATGCAAACAATGATCATTGCTACGACGAGTTAGAAACTTAATTACACTTATGAAACTCATTTCCACAATATATTCATATTAATGACTTTTTCATCAGACATATATACACATACAAAAAATAAAGAACAATCATTTGACTTGTTTCATGGTTTCTTTAACAAATTAACTAAAGAAATTATCACTCATCTAATACATTTCTTGTTTTTTAGTTTTTCTTTTTAATGTTTACCTTCCTGATCTTGTAACAATCATTTCTGTTCCAAGTTTATCAAATTCATCCCATAAAGATTTTGATTCAATAACCATTTTAATATTAGCTAATTTTGGATGAAGTGGCTTTTTTATTTCATTATTTCCATTTTGACCTGTACCATGTTCATTATCAGATTTATTTATATCAAGCATATTAGTTGATGTTGATTTGATTTTTTCTGTTGCTGATTGAATATAATCTAAAATATTTAAAGGTAAAATTTCATATGCTGATTTTTTTTTTATTCTACGGAACAACTAACCTTCCATATTACGAATTGTTGTTAAACTTTTTTGAAGATTTGTAACTTGTTGATGATGTTTATGATGTGTAGATCGATTTTCTTTGATTGTTCCTTGTTGTTGTTGTTGCTGTGGTTGTTGATACTGTCCGTTATTCGTTTCAGTTAATGTTGCCGAACGATAATGATGAAGATCTTGTTGTATATGATTATTATAATAATCGTTAGTAATCTTTTCAATAGAAGGATTAGGATTACAATTAATAGTATTATTATTACTATTTGTTTCTATTGAACTCGTCATAGAATGATATAAACTATTCTCATCATCGCAACAATCTGATGTAATCAGTGAGGCGATACTGAAACTGCTAGCACGCGGTGTCAACGGATTGTTGTCCATAGAAGAAAAAAAAAAAGAATAGACAAGAAAATTATTGTTGAGTATATATGGTGTGAAGAACTTGAGCAAAAGCAAAACAAGAAGAGAGAATCAGAGAGAGAGAGAGAGGGAAAGGGAGAGAAAGAGAAAGAGAAAGAGAGATGATAAGGTGATAGCACGTTTGTACATAGAGAATCAGTAAAAAAAGACGATTGGCACGCGATGTGAGCCAGTCGATTTTCTCTTTTTTTTCTCTTATTCGCTCGTTCGTCCCACTATCATCAACAACGACGACTCATCATCGTCATCCGATAGATTGTTTATCTCCTTTTTGCTTGCTTGCGGAAATACGCACACTCTTATACATAGGATGACTTGACAATCGTTATCATTCGTTCCCTTACTTGCAAACGAGCATCGACATCAGTCGTTTGGCATTTTTCTCTTTTTCTTATTTTCTTTTCTGCCAATGAGATAGCACAATCATATCAAAATGTAATTATACTAATTTTTTTTTTTCTAGAAAGTTAACTTAGATAAAATAAAAGACAACAAAATGAATTCACTCGTTATTGAAAAAGGAAGAAAGAAAGAAAAAAGAAAAACTATCAAGAAAAGACTTTCTTTAAATATCAAAAAATACTTTCGCTTTTTTTATTAATACGATTGAATGAATAGAATTTTTATTTTTTTTGTCGATACTATTACATACTTGATTATTATATACGTCTATTCGCCCACTGCAAATATAGAAGAAGTGATAAAGAATGATGGGTTGGCTCTTCCTCTTTACTCCGTATCTGAGCTTGAGAGTGTGTTGACATTTTGCTAGTTGATGAGTTGATGAAGACGTACGAGCTCGACCAATCAACCAAGTCAAACGTAAGACTGATAACACATAAAACAATACGGAAACTAATAGGAGAAAAAAGAAAAAAGAAAGACTTTCTCTTTCTGGTGAACAATTTGCAATGGCCATTACTCAACATAACTCTACACTATATATATCAATTCGCGTGATAGATAAATGACACAATTGTATATAGAACTGTAAAATTCAATTAGACGATGATATTATATCATATTTACTTCCTAGATGCTAATGATACCTGCAATCGAGGATAGGATAAACAGATAGACAAAGAGAGAAACTATACAAATCAAGACAAATGAGAATTTGATGAAGAAACAAACAAAAAAAAACGAGTTGCAATAGAAATAAACGAGATAAGAAGAGCTTACAGTGTGATACGAAAAGACACAAAAGGAACATCTCTTCGTTGCAAATGAAAAGGGAAACTGACTTGCGCTTATCTTTGTGTCGGCATCAGACTCCTGTCACGCTATACATACACATACACACACATAGATATAGACATATCTGTGCTTTGTCTATTTTGTGATGGTTGTTGATACGATGGTGTGGCCAAATGAGAAAAAGAGAGAAAAGAGGGAAGACATGTTGATAGAAAAAAATGACAAAAATTGACGCACTATTTTGGTACTATATTATTGAAGAGTTTGAGATAGTATAGATTATAAGTATAGATAAGATGGATTAATCTTAACTGTGAAAATATAACTTTGTTATTGTTATTTGTGTCAATGTAGTTTTATAAATTTTTCATGTTTTTGTACAATTATAAGACAAAATATAATTCTATTTTTCAATAGAAAAACAATCATATTAAGTTAAATTAGAAATGGACTAAAGAACAAATAAAAGTCTTAAAAACATGTCAATGCGACCTTTTCATTTTCATACATGGAATAAAGACTATTCTAGATACATAATAGAATTTGAGAAACTATACAACATGAAGTAGTGTAGTCTTTTTCTACAAAGGTTGCTATTCGAAATTTACAAAGCTCAACTATCTTCAGAACAATATTCAAAAAATTCACATATGTAAATTTCAAACACAGCATCATACTTTTTTTCGTTTTGTTCGTAAACGCTATACGTTGCTATTTCGAGTGTAATTTACTCAACAATTGTATATGACTGTATGGTGAATATCGTGCTTAAGCAATTCGATTAGTTGATAAGTTCATCAGTCTTTCTTAATACCTATATATGCTCATAATTCGCGATTGGTCCTATTTGTTTTTTTTTGGAATAACATCATCTTTTTAACTTTGACTTAAATGAAAAAATGCAGAATTTAATTCTGCATAGGACTGTAGAATTAGGAATTCTTTGAACTTTTATTGGCTTATAGTTAAAAAAACTGAAGAATACAGATAAATTATGCAATAATTGAAATGATCATTGTCTCAGAATGTGTTATATAAGCATATTTTGTTCGTTGCTTGTAATTGTTTTTGGGATGATGATTTAAATTATGATTATTTTCTTCAGGAACTTTATTCGACAATTAATTAGGTAATAGAATTTTTGAAATAGAACAGTGATACACTGGAATGTTGTATAGGCGTTTATCGAGATCGAAAAATCTCGATTTTGGTCACTTCTGATTTTGACCTCAATGTATTGCTCTTTCAAACCAAAATGTTTGTCGGTATTGTACTAGTGTGGTTGAAGAGAAGATTGACACCCACAGTATATCTTAGTATAAATGAGATCCTATTTAGAATGAGGTGTATAAAGGTAATGATAAGTCATAATTGTAGACTTGAGGGGTTATAAATAGTAGTGTTCTTGAGATAAGAAAATTTAGAGAAAAAGTATTGATGTAAAGAATTTTGAAAAGCGGCGATAGATATTTTCTAGCTCCCTGGTATACTTTTCATAACTGAAAACCGAAGTTTTCTCTACATTTGCACTTTTTTTTTGAGCACTTTTCCTACATTTATGGTACGAGAGTTTCTATTTATGATCACTCAACTCTAGATTTATAGTTTCTGTTATGATTTACACAGTTTTATGGCAATTTATTGCCCACAATACCATGTTATTAGTGGTAGGGTCATAAATGTAGAGGAGATATGAAAAATGGTGTATTTTTTTCTGATTAGACATTGCGGCTTTTTTGAATGTTTTCTTTTTTCTTTTTCATTGGCATTGTTGATGTGTTAGTATTTCTTTTCTAGTTTCAGTAACGTGAATAAATTTTGACTTTGATAGTGAAAGTTTGTTTCGAATACAAAAAATGAAATATTAATAGTAATTCTAAAAGTAATGACAGAAACAGGAACTGAGACAAGTCGTTCCTACAGGGCATTAGTGTTTTGTCATTGTTTCAGTCGATTTCCGTCTCAATCGATTAAAAATAGGTCAACACATCACACATTTCTAATAGGTAACTGACATCAACATCAAGATTGATTGAGAGGTTCGGTCTCGATATATATCTCATTTTATCTATTTTAAATAGTTTCTTTCTGTCTGTTTAAGAATCGACTCAATCAGTTAAAACCGCAGTACTCTTTGATTTATATTGAGGTTCACATTTCAGTTCTGAATGTAAATACAAATTTTTTTTTCTTGAAACTTATCATGAAATTTTATCATAGATGAATGCATAAAATAATGAATGTTGAATGATGATAATTATATTTATATTTGACATATGACTTGCTTAAAAATTCAGATTTTCATTAATAATGATTGTTGAACAACGAACATTTGATAGCAAATTATCAGTATTACCTTTAATAAATGATCAAGTTTTTATTGTTTAGGTAGTAATCTTGTTTTCATGACTGAGTTTACTTTATTTGATAAGAATGATTGCATTGAAATTACAAGTTAAATTTTGATCATTTTGATTTATGGACAACGTCACTTGTTAGCTATGTAACTTTGCAAGATTAAAACACGTATATTTTAAGATAATGAACTTTTGTTGAACTAATGTCTATATTTTACATATATGTTATGTTACTCTAAATATTTTGAAAAAATGAACGCTAGAAATATTTATTCACAAAAGTTATCAGTAAAAGACTAGTGTTAACAGCAAGACATCGACTTTCACTTCATGCATTTGAGCTACTAAAAGAAATCTCAGAATTCAATCAATATTTTTAAAAACTATACAACACATGCTGTAGACAACTTCTGAAACTACAAAATCTCTAACCAAAGTTTTTTTAAGCCTGCCTAGATTTTTCAAAAAAATTGATTTAATTTTACGTTTGCTATATGAGGAAATTCAAAACTAATTCCAAACGATACAAATTCTGCTTCGGAATCTTTAGATGATATTAAAACAAATTTTTGCTTCGGAACTTGATAGAGTTTCTGGAAAATCTATTTTTCAGAGGAATTATTTTTGGAATTTGATTATGCTGAAAATGTTATCATAAATGCAGTTCATGCAGTAAAGTCTATCCTGAAGGTTTCTCATTTTTTTTCATGTACGATTAGAAAGATATGCGTTAATTACTTTTTTTTTATGAATAACCAATTGAAAAAGTCAATATTTTTCATATGTCTCGGTTAAAAGGACTCATTCAGAAAAGCAACCTTTGTAAACAATCAAAGTCAAATGAAAGGTGAGTATGCTCCGTTTTACCTGTAATGGCACATAAATCATGTTTTGTGTTCTGACATTATTTATATAGAAAAAACTCGATAGGTTCAACTGCTGTTTCATTTGATTAATTATTTGCTATTTCGATGATTTATAAATGATCTGTTTCAAATAAATAAAGTCTATTCTATTCTAGTTTTCTACTATAATTACTTCTTCTCATTCACATATCATTTAAAACACTGAAATTGTAAATAATAAGCCAAGTAAAACGAATTGCATTAATATCGTTTTTGCAGTAGTTATACAATGCAATATTGTAGAAATTCGATCGTTTTTTTTTTGTTAGAAAATTCATAAATATTTGTTTGACGTTTTTTATGATCAATTTTTGATGCCTTCCAACATCAATTATATATATATTTATATATGTAATTTTTATTTACAATGAATGCCTTTCGTGGAATATAAAAATAATAGATCTAGTGTACAGAAGACTATACAACAAATAGTTTTATTAAGAAATTTATTTTGACATTTATAAAACGAAGAAAATGTTTTATCTCAAGATCTGACAGAAAAGTCAATGTCCTATTTCAAATACTATTGTTCAATAGAGGATTTAATAAGTTTTCTTGTTTAAATAAAATATATAGTTTCTAACAACATCATTTTCGGACTATACAATTTAGTGTTTTTCTTTTTGACTTTGATCAGTCCTTATGAAAAAAAAAATCAGTGCTACCCGATGTTGTTCTAACAATTGTCATATCAACTGTTGTAAAACATGCCGAATATTTCTCTTTCTTTTTGGGACAACAATAGTTCTCAAGTGTCGCGTCATAAACCTTGAAAAAAAGAGAACCAAAAAAACAGATTTTGTATTGTATAAATTTTTTTCTTAATTCAAAAAGATGCTAAACATTCCCTTCATATCTTTTATTCTAAGATTTTCATGACCTTCAGAACACATTGTCAACCAATTTGTTTTATACCAAAAACAAAAACTATTTTAGAACTTTTTATTTTATTTACTAGTTTATAGTAAACTACCCTCTTGAAATCTTTTGATATGAAAGTAACAATTCTTTCCTCACCAAAAAATCGAAATGTATCATTGAAATCTACCTGTATCATATGTCATGAAAGACAAAGAGTTTTTTTTTATGACATATTACTCACAGACACATTTAGAGCACTAAAATCATTTTATTTTATCCGATTCAACAAATACTCAACATTTCATATCTCTGCGTATCTTTTATGAAAAAAATAAATGTCTTTCATACGAATGATTATCGAGAAATTATAAGTATTTTTCTTTGTTAAATGTATATATTTTTCTTGTTTTGCATATTCACGAGGCAACAAAATTGTTCATTCATTCATATGAATTAATAATAAAGAAGAAAAAGAGTAACATGTAATAGAAAAAAAGAAAAACGAAGACGAACGATGAAACGCTTAAACTAAAACAGATCAAGTTAATTCTCATCAGCACATATCACAAAGTGTCACTTGCTTAGAGAAGAACGTAAGAAAAAACAACTGTTGTATTAGTGACACAACACATACACGACAAAAAAAAAAAAAAAAAAAAGAAGCATCAATGGCAGTCATACAAGATGAGCAGACATTTAGTTATTTTAATTAAATAATTAAAAAGATAGAGAATAGCCGAATAAATGAACTAAAGAATAAGAAGTATTTTCAATTTTGATATTTATTTTGATACGTCTGCAGTTGACATCGAGCAAAATCTTACAGAACTTCATTTAACTTGAAGCCTGTCGTTCGGAACCCCAAAAATGTCCAATACCAAACGCGATTAATGTAAGTGCTGTCCAGAGAAAGAAATGTGCAGCAACACATAAATTATACGAATAACCCATTGATGTATACTGGGTTATTGCTGATGCTGATTGCGGAAAAAAATATAAGTATGGATCACGTGAATAAACTCCCCATGTCGCATAAGCTGACATAACAAACATAGACGCAAAAAACATTAAACCCAAAGAAACCAATAAAATTAACGCATTTCCTGTAAATGCGGCAGCGATTGTCGCAAAAATACCGAATATAAGAAGTAAAAGACCAAAAACGGACAAGCCGGCTTGAGTAACACGATTCTCTCCAAAACAACCTTCGCCTGTATCAGACGCATTTACTGCAAAACATTTTCGAAAAAGACCAAGAGTACTCCCTCGACCATCATCAAGCCATACAGGTGTAGCTATACTAATAATAAGAAGTAACACAGCAAAAGCACCAATGCCAGCTCCAGCAAACAGCGTAAGTTTATGAAGTGGTGGCATTGAAATAAATATGATGAATATTGTTGTTGTCTGAAATTTATGATAATAATTATATCGATCTACAGTAAGAAAGAGAGAAAAAAAACATTATACATCTTAATAAGGGTAGTGGTTGTATATGTGTGCGTGTGTATGTCTGTGATTATTCAGGATATTTTTGTTGCTATAGTATTTCGACTGAATAATATCAGCAAAATAACACGAGAAAAAAAGAAAAAGAGAAGAATCTGTTGATGTTTCATGTATAAAAAGCTTTATAGTTAAAAATGTGACTAATAATGCAAAACGAAGAATCTAGTTTTTTCTTTCTTTCTTCTTTCCTATTTTTTTATCGATGGTAACAGCAGTCGACTCGTTTTTTTTTTGCATTTTTTCTGTAAAACTGCCGTTATGAATTTATGCCGATAGTAGTCATTAATAATCATCAGTCCCACGAAGGTCTACGACGAAGACATACCTCCATATATACCTTATGTTTCTCTTCCGCAATTTTACTTTTCTCTCTTTGATTGTTGCTCTTTGGCAACGCATTAAAAAGTTGTCACAGAACAAGAGGAAAAGAACAACTCTAACTATAACAGAATCAACAAAAACATACAACATAAAAAAAAAAGATTATAATGTATACTTATGGTAGCATTGCTCTTCTATTTATGTCATAACTCGTGAGGATATGTCTCTAATGCTCTGACATCTTCAAAGAAGGAAGAGGAAGAAAAAAAAAACGTTGAACAGCTACGTATTGCTGTAACTCGTCGTATTACTCTGATAATGGGCATCACATATTTACAGTCATCATCAAAAAAAAGGAAGAAACAGAAGAAAAAAACAGACACATAAAAAAAAAGAAAGGTAAAAAAAGAGTATAATACGAAAGAACAATATTATTAGTCGAAAGAATTCTGAAAAATTACTTCAAATATAATGTAATTAGAAAATTTATGTAAAGATAAGTCTGTCACAAGTTCGTCTCTTTTAAAATGAAGACAAAGAAGTAAAATATTGTACTGTGTAAACGAATAAAACAGATCTAATCGAACATACGACAGCTGCAGCATGTCATGTCCTTGATTTTGGACGTGACATATTTTAATCTACATTGGCTGATATAGTATTATCTCAATTCGATACATGGCCTTCGGTTGAAAGAAACGAGTTACTTGTCTATAAAATTTTATAACAAAAAAAAACAAAGCAAATATTCTCTACAGAAAGAAACCGAAAGAAATATATAGACTTCAAAATAGAAAAGAAATTCAACGTGTGAAAAGCTCATGATTTTTTTAAAATAAGAATGCTTGTTTTCAGCTTTTCTTATGGAAAGAAAAACATGCAAGGAAAAAAAATAACACAAAGAAAAAAAAATCAATTATAACATGCATTATTTCATGGAAGATTACATGTATAAAACACCAATCAAGGGTTATTCTTTGGTATGTAAGAAGAAAAAAGCAGAAAATTACCGTTTTATTATTATATGTCGAAAATCAAATAAATACTCAGAATAATATTTTCAAACTTGGCTGAATCAATAATAAGCACAATGATATTTGCTCTAAATACTATGAAATATATCTGTCAACGGAAATGAAAAAAATTCAAAAAGGAACAAGTGCTTCTCCTAGTTTTTTTTTTCTTAATATATGCTGTAAAAATTCTTCTAGCTATCCTATTTTACTCGTCTTGAGCATTTTTCTTCTCTCTTGTTCTCCAAAGCAGCATTTGCTTGCTGTCGTCAACCGAACGCTCTTTTTTAATTAAATCTAGAAAAAAAAATAAGAAGAACGAAAGAAGAAAAAAAAAATGAACAAACCATTGTTGTTGTCATTACACAGTCCTACATAATATACCGGACAGACAAAGAAAGTATGAATCCATTTCTCGATCTCTTATTTAAAAGTCACAACATTAAGCAAACATTTGAAAAGAAATCTGTGAATTTAGGTTTAACAGATTATTGTTATATCTGTTAAACCTAAACAAAAGAAAAAGAATATTTTCTATATTCAAAATAGAATGCCTACTAAAAAAAAAAACGTAAGTGCTCTTCCAATGTGCATGTGAAAAAAAATCATGCAATCAAGAAAATAAAAAAACGATCAGACGAGACTTTTGTTCTAAAGTTTAAGTGTTTGATTATTATAGTTCATTGCAAATGATGAACTTAACTAAAAGAAAGAACATTTAAATAAATAAATGTTTCAGATGAAGAAAAAAAAACATTCATTATAGTTAGCGAGAAGATCAGCAAACAAAAAAGAAGGTTAGTGGTTGCATTTTTTATTAGAAACAACTTATAGAAATAAAAAACGGAAAAAAATTCTTATCTTTTTTAACAAATAAAATAAAAATCTGATTTTTATTTAATCTCAAACAATACTCAAGGCAAACAGGACAAAACATCGTTTGGTTTGAATAGATCAAAATTCATCAAATTTCTTTTTTTTCATTGAAGAGTAGTATTCGCTTTTTATATTATCTTAATCCATATGTCAACGAAATCGAAAGAATGTGTCATCCATTATACTTTTTTTTTCTTTCAGGTAACAAACGAATACAATGAATTTAATGCAGTAAAAAAATCATGTATTTATATATTTGAACAATATTTACACGAAAAATGTCAAACAAAATAGTGATATTAATGTTTTTTTTTGCATATACGATTAAATATTTGACTGAATAACTATTCTAATAGTATCGCTGTTTATCATAAAATAAAATAAAGTAAATTTTGCAATATTATAATCTTCTAATTAACATAGACGTATATTATTATTATGATTATTATTCGAGCTTATTTTTATACTACAGCTAGATTTCTTATTACAGAATTTCCTTGTTATGTGTTAGTTGTAGACAACAAGTATTTGCTCTCACGCCTTTGCTAATTTTATTGGTCGTTCGATTTGTAGTGTTGATTAGTTGCTAGTTGTCGTTTATATGTTTATTTCAAATAACAACATTATAATATGTTCTGATCATGTGCAACTTCCAGTCAACATTGCAATGAGCAAGGAGATTAAAAATCATACATTTGCCCATGTTATATATGACATACATCATTATTCCAATATTATGTGAACATACACTCCTTTTCCCCTGTTAGGTACACTTTTGTCTACAACTAAAGCACTAGAAACTGTAATATCAATAGCAAACTTCTCAACGGATAGACTTCTCGATACGCATTCAAAAGTTTCATCCAAAGAAACAAGTTTTTTTCGATCATTCAATCTTGATGAAATTTTAAATAGAGCTCTATTTCGAATTAAAAAGCTCACAGTAAAACTTTCAGCTCAATACATAGAATAACTCAAGAGTTAACTTAAAATGATGGATCAAATTATAAATGTTTGCACGTTTCAAATTTTTTGGCCATGTCAAAGGTTAGAGAATCCAGATTGGTTTCACACCGTAGCCAAGATGTAGTGCTAATACATGACAGGGGATAAGTTTTCAAAGTTTGTTTTTCTCGAAAGTTTCTCTCATAAAATACAGAAGAAACCAGAGCGTGTAGGTCAAAAACAATTAGTTTTTAATAAAGATTAAGGACGAAACCGATAAAGTCAGCACTGTTAAGTTGTAGAGTGGGCTTTTGATTTCATTTTGACATGAAGTCCATGTTTCTAGCGTTTAAAATGGCGGACATCTTTCTGACGTACGGAAACTTCAAAATAAAAAACTCTTTTGTAAAAAAAAACGTAAAATTGCTTCAACACTATAATTCAACGGTTGTTTTTCTTCCATAAACTGATATAAAACGAATCTTTGAAGAATTTTTCATAGATTACTGATTAGAACGAATGAAATGAACACATATTGAAGTGAAGGTGTAGTTGTAGACGCAGGTGTGAATCTTCATCTTCGAGTAACGTATCCACTTATCATACTTACTAATGCATGATAGCCATGTTCATCCCTATCAAAAGTTAATAGAGAATCTTGGAGGATTTTAGAAACCAAAGTGTTTAGATAAAATGTTATTTTCTTCTGTATGGAAGCCTAAAAAAACCTGTATAATATCCTTCAATTTCAGCATAAAACGAATAAACTATAGTGCATTGAAGAGTACATATTTTGCTGTATTTAACGACCTATAAATCACGAAATTGATAAATTTGACTAAAATTGACCTTGTCTGTAGGAGTCTTTAAGTTACTATATTTTATTAGGTTGGCCGTAGGAAAGCCGAAAAAAAATATACCAAAATTAAAAATGATCGAAAAATGCTTTAGAAAATTTTGATTACTAAGACAAATTTATTTTTTGTATGGAATAATAATAATAATAATATTCTGAATGAGATTATTTACAAATCAAGAGAAAAAAAGAAAAGAAAAGCTTCCACAAAAACCATGCACTTTAGTGTTTTTCTTTATCTACAAAATGACGGTGATCATCAATCATTTTAACCACTATATCATTCAAATTTGTATGTTCATCAACTGAACCTCTATTAGATGTATTTTTTTAAACATTTTCTAGCTGCTTCAATTTGAAAATAAGATCATCTGATAAAAGCAAAGATTTTTCTTGTTATGAATTAATAAATGAAATATAACTGCAAATATTTATTGACTTATATCCGTTGAAGATAAAGCAAATGCGGCTATGATGATAGACTTTTAGCTGTATAGTAGTTTTTTTTCCAAGTATTGTAGTTAATCTTTATCAGATGTTTTTTCATCACTGCTACTACTGATTACAGATATAAACTGATAGAATAATGAGAAAAGCAATTATAAACCGTAGACATCTAAGTCAATGTTTAACTAGGCACATCAGTTTTTTCTGATACTTTCTGCCGATGTGATTCAAACCGAACAGAAATTGTCAATAGACCATTCAGTGTAACGTGCACTATGCTAATACTCGCACCAAAATTAAAGAGAAATGATTGTAATTTCAATAACTTAGCAATGATAACAACTAGCAAAATGCGATTTCCAACAATCGAAATAGAAGAACTCCAGACGGCCTTTTATCTAATATGATAAAAGACAAATATTTTTTTAAATTCATCATCTTCGAAAAAGATTCAAAACATGCATGAAAATGGTATGTCGATTCCTATGTTAGCCTGATTTTAACATGTGGTTTCAGATAAAAAGGGCTTTCGATATATAGTTCCAGACGTGATTCAAATAACAATGCTGAGTAAACAAAATCATTTATCTATTCGGCCAAGTTATTAAGAATTTTGTTCATTTGTAGCGAATTTTCTGACGTTTTATCAAGACTTTTTGAAAACAGACTACTATTTTCATGTATTTATTGAACTTACATCCAGCCCTCTCTAATTCTAGTGAGAACATTAGGAATGTACAAGATTACTTTACATTACAGGATAGAATAAGATAAGAGTAAGCATGTTACGAAATAAGGTTTAGAGAATTTTTCTTAAACCAAGCAGAAGATATAGAAAAAGCTTGCTCTGAGCATCTTTAAGCTATACTGACGTGATAGTTCGATATTTAAATGATCGACTTATCTTCTGACTACCACTCTACTGCAATAATACTGATGGTAGTACGAACAAATGTGCAGTACGATGGTTTCGATATTTTTTCTTCCAACTTTTCTACAGCGTATCTTGTATTTTTTACTTATTGATTATTTTCATATGAAATAATTACTAAATTTAATCGTTCATTAAAATCAAATAATTTTAAAAAAATATCAATAACTTATACGTTCATATTTACCAGTTCAAGATCGAAAAAATTGTTTGATTCATTTTTTTGCCGGGTAAAGTTGATGAAAATTCCTCTGCAAAACATTCCTATAAAATTTTCAGTTTATTTCTTTGAATCATCAAGATTCAATATATTAAACAAATTTTTCTATCAATCAACAGCAGTATTTTTTTATATAAATAAAAATAGAACTCTTTCAATATAAATAATTATGTTAGTCAAGGAAATAATCTCTGGCATAAATATAAAAAATAAATTATTAATAAAAATTTTAACATTTGAACTTTGAAAGTTATTACTGGTATCAATGATAAATTGATTTAAAGAAATATATTCAATCCTTTTCTTCCGTCTGTATAAATAAAAGCTTTTTTTCTTAGCATCCACCATAAAAAAGTTTAATGAATAATTGGTTGCATTTGATCATTATTATGGTTTTGAAAAAAATATGGTTCATTATTCAAATGATTATGATGAGGACTTGGAGGTGTTTTTGAAAGATTAGGCAATACAGAACGTTCAGATACATGATTGATTTGATGATTTGCACCAGGTAATGTACCAGAAATGATCTCAGTAATTTTTTTTGATTGACAATATTCATTAACAATTTTTGCACCAACAGAATTATCTGCTCGCATTGATTTTTCATTGGATTTCGTATCTTTAATCAATGGTAAAGCAAGAGCAGTTCGTTTTGCAACTGAGTGTACTGAATTCGAATAATTTCTATTACTAACTGAACCAAGTGTTTTTTTTGATTGAATTTTATGAGTTGGAATTCCTGGATCAATTCGTTGTTTGAAATTAGGATCAATTATAGGCAATGATGGTCGTCTATTATTATTATTATTCTTGTTTGTGACTGCTGTTGGATGAACAATATGTGGTAAATAAGCTGGTGCTGTTGTACCCGTGATTGATTCAACGATAATTTCAGGTGATTTGCTTCGAGCAGAATGTGTCTTTGTATGTGCTGATGATTCACGTTCAGACTCATGTGGTGGCAACTGTGGTGGTGATGGTCGTGATGGTCGATGTACTTCTGATATATCCGATACTAAAGCACCTTGTTTTTCTAAATATTCAACATAAGCACCATATAATTGTCCATCTTCTCGCCGTGGATTAGTAATGCGTTTGTTTGATTTTATTGTTGATACAGTAGGCTTGTCATTCTTTGGTGATGATAGATCTTCAATAGTTTCTAATTTTAATGCGAAACGAACACGTTTTTTTGTTGGACATTTTTTTGATACTGTTGTTGAAGGAGTATTGGGTAAAATAGGTTGTATTGTTGCGAAAGTTGATTTTATTTGTGTATTAGCATGCACCGGATGAAGACTTGGCAATGGACTAGAACCTGTAATATGTATATTTTTTTTATTGAACTATTTTTTATTCAAAAAAAAAATGAAATATTCTTACGGGCTAACGAATTTTTCATTGTAGTCATTGTTAATTTTTGACTTGTCTTAAAGTAAGATATTTGTCTGTTTGAAAAAAAAATCGATAAAACTTCAATAGATGAAAAATAAACTTGCATTCTAAATATTAGTAGACATAATACAATTCAAGAGGAATCGAACTTTCCTTCAACAAGAAGAAAAAAAAAAGAAAATCGAAACAAAAACATGAGTTAAATTCGTTTAATTCTTTCTTTCGAATCATCCATCTAGTCGTCAAATTGTCTCGGCATGCATTTTTTAATATTTGTTTGGTTGATCTGCTATTCAAAGTTATTATGCATATGTTTGCGCATGTTCGGATTCTCAACAAGAGTCATTTTATTTCGTTTTCAAGTAGTTAAAAGCATTTTTTTTTCTTTTTTCTTATCCACTACTCTATTAAATGAGCGCTGTTCGTCGTTATACATACTAAATGATCACTATGTATTAATTTAAGTACATTGTCAAAAAAAAAAGTTTTGAATAAATTCAGTTATAAAATCGTGTAGCAATTACGTTCAATAAATTGTTATTGATTAAACCCCATCAGAACATAGAAGCCCACCTTATCCGAATAAATATAAAATAGTGACGTAAGTCATCCAATGAATCAGTTCATTGCATTTCGCTGTTTAATTATAACTTGTTTGGTGTATTTGATTTCTTTTTTTTTTCGGCATTTTTTTTCTATTGACGAACTAATGAGTTTCTTTCATGAGCTCAATAACATATACACATGAACAGTGATGAGCGATAGCAATGTAAAAACTGGCGAATAAGAAATAGGCATGCTTTAATAACATTTTGTTAGGCTTCCTTGTTTTATAGGATTATTCACAGCCTACAAATGCAACATCTCACAAAGCTGAATGATACTACGATGAAATTACGTGAGATACTCATAAAATCTGAATTATCTATGTCATAAAAATGAGAAGCTCTCATTTGGTAATTGACAATTTACTTTATACTTCTTTCAAGACCACTGGCATATATATTCTTGCATTTCTGATCTGTCCATAATCTTCGAAGATGACTTTATTTGATATAGTTATACAGAACTTTTTCTCAAAACCTTCGCAACTCGATAGTTTCTCAAACTAAAGTATGGTCATAAGGGCTGATCTAAGGTATCTACTATATTAAAACACATGAACGTGTGAATGAGAAAAGTAGTGTAATGAATGTATTACTCAGGTTCTCTGATAATAAAGAACTGGAAAAGTACAAAAGTCAATTTTTCGGTTCGTCAATAACTACCATAGCTCGTGCCGAAGGTCTCAGATTGTTTGAAAACTACAATTTATCAAATCTTTTACATATTTGTATTTGCAAGCAAATCAAATTATAGTTACAAGACAACAACATTAATCGACATAAAGTCCTGACTGCAAACTTTTAACCATATTTGTGTGTATGTAAAACCAGACAATAATAAAGTATGACGAATATTGATTTCAACAGATTCATGAACTCACGAAACACTAGGGTTTCCTCATAAAATTCTCTTTGAAATTTTCTGCTTCGAACATCTGTCTCCTAATTTCAGATGCCAGATTTGTAATAAAAATGTCAATCTGATCGGTTGTAATCTCTTCAATAGCTAGAAGTAGTCAAAAATTACTGATAACCAGAAAATGTCTTCATTGTAGAATCAAGAAAGGCTCCATTATGTAAATGAAATATAGAAAAATCATGAATGAAAATTCATTGAACATTCAACTTACATTAGACTCATATTCATGATCAATCTTGTCAGCTGTATGAAATGCACTGAATGATGAATAATAAACAGAATACTGACATTGAGTTCGAATTTCTTCTCTTCTCTTACATACTTACTCAATTTATGTCTACAAATTCATTTTCAAGTACCATTCTTATTTGTTTTTTTCACTAGTGATAATTTTTGAATATTATTTCATAATTATCAGATTGTGTGATAAGTGCAGATACACTACTATTATTCATAATCAATATTCCTTTTTTGATTTATTTAACTTTATCTTCGTCCTTTTCAACACTTTAGTTTTCTATTCAAACGAGCTATCAGCATTCATGACCTTGCTATATCTATTTTTGCTTGTTTTCATAATGCGTGCATGTTTATCTCTTTCATTTAATTCTAGTTTGCAAGCATTTTCCAATTTGCGATCATGTTTATCTTTTCCACTTCTGATTCTGCGATGTGGATATTTTTTCTCTCGAATTAGAAACACATACACAAAACGTGACAGAAAACTTCCAATACATTCTTTTTCAATAGCAAAAAAGAAACGAATTCGAAATGTGTTGTTGATATTTTACTTCTATATTCTTCTTTCAATGAAACAAACAACTCATGATCATCGAGTTTTACAGTTTTTTTTTTAAATTTTAACCAGATCATGATAAATTAGCAGATAAATTGTTCTACAATGTGAATTCTCACTTTTATCAAATGCAAGAAAGTAATTATCAAATCCTTTATATTTAATAAAATCTTTTTCTGATTTATATAAGTTAAGACATTGATAGTTTTCTTTTTCTTTTTATTTATTATTAAGAATTATTATGTTCAATTGATACTGTAAGACAATTTGAGATAACATAATCTTCTATTTCTTAATAGATTTAAATATATCGACTAGAGATATACAATAAGAAAGAAGCAATATTGCTGTCAATGCAGAAAAAATAAATAAATCAAAAGATTCAGCACATTGGAGATCACTATTTAAGAAATATTTCATTTCTATAACAGAATAATTTCTTTTTCTTTTAACCAGGTAATAATTTAACATAATTGCCTGGAAATGTTCCAAATGACATGTTATTGCCATGAGTTGATTTTTCCATTATTCCACAATACCATCCATCATCACACATTTCAACAATATTAATTATATCTCCAACACGAATTTCAAGTTCATCTACATTTTGTGGTATATAATCATAAAGTACTTGACATCTAAAAATAGAAAATCAAATGATTTCTAAATGAAAAAATATATATATTTAACAAAATCATTCGTTAGTAGTATGTCTTTAGAAAATTAAAACACGCATATATTGAGATCATGAATTTTTCTAAGATTAATTTGTATATACTCCATGTCTATTGAGTTACTCAAGATATACTGTAACAAAAATCAACGCGAGAGATCTTTATTTAGACAAAGTATCAGTGATACGACATCGACTGTTTACTTCATATATCTTAGTTTAAAAAAAACTTCGAATTCAAGCAACATTTTGATTACAAAATAGTACATTCTGTAGGCAATTCTTGAGACTACAAAATGTCTATTCAAAGTTTTTTCTGATCTCGTGTAGTTTTTTCAACAAAATCGATTTACTTTTTATTAGCGATATGATGGAGTACAAAAAAAGTGCTCTTTTAAGCTACTATAAAGTTCAAAACAGTGCAAGTTCTTCTTTAGAATCTTTGGATAATCGATTTTCTAGAAGAAGTATTTTTGAAGGTCGATCTTCCTGAAAATTTCACCAAAGTTGCGGTTCATGCTGTAGAATCTATTCTGAAGTTTTCGGATTTTTTCCTCATCTGTTTAAAGAGATATATCCATTGGCAAAAGTCTTCGCACTTCTCTCTCATTCATTTTGTGTCGAACCATTGAATATTAGTTACAAGGTTTACTTCAACACTATTTCACTATTGTTTATGATTGATTACGACCTACAACTCCAATGAAGACTATACGTCATTCAATACAATTAGCCAACGTTACAAATGAGTTGGTTGATAGAATACATCACGGTGGTGTTATCTCTTTTTGTGATATATTATGAATGTTTTACTATATGTGTATTTGTAGTAATTGATAATGTTGCATTTTCGAAAGACCTTCGAGTCGACAATGAAAAAAGTTTGATGATTCAACCCAGTAAAATACTTAGTAGATACAAAAATAAAAGAAATAACCTAATCATAAAGCAATTTGTCAATCAATTCATTTGTGATATTGCTCACTTATACTGAAAGATGTATATTCTTCATTGAAGCAAATTAGCATTAATCATCCACTACATCCTAATAAAGTATTCAACTTGTCCTTGTAACTAGCATTCACCTGAGGTCAAAAAACTTCCATATGAAAAAAATAATAAGAAAGAAAGAAGAATTTTGCCTAGGGATGTATTTACTAATTACTTTTAATTAACTCACTAATTAATTAATTGATGATAATTAACAGTTAGTTGAAAGAACAAACGTATTTATACATATCTATGCTAAAAGAACTTATTCAGAAAAATAACTTTTAATAAAGAATTAAAGTCAAATGAAAGGAGAGTATGTTCTTGTTAGCTTGAAATGATTGATATATTAAACTTACTTCTGCATTGGTATTGGTGATTCTGGTACTATATTAATTTGTTCGGTTGCTGTTTGTTGTAATCGATTAGAATTTTTTAATGCACTTTTTGGCATTTTAATGATATTTGTTGTATGTTCATTTTGATTCGATAGCATTAAGGATTTACCTTCAATTTTTGAATTAAATGAAATTAATAAAAAGTGAATTCAAAATGAAATTCTTACTCTTTGGTTCTCTTAATGTTTCAACATAATCAGCAGGAAATATACCTTCAACATGATTAAGTCGTCCTTCATACCAATTATTATCAAATTTTCGTAATAGAATGACTTTATCACCCTATTGTTTTAATAAAAAAAGAAAGTAATCTTATGAAATCATTTTTTTTTTGTTCGATAGAATTCTATAACAAACTTTTCTTAATTGTAACTCGTAGGTTTTTTCTGGTATAAAATCATATTTAACAATAGCTTCACCTTCTATTTGTTGTTCTTTTTCATTTGGATTTTCTTGTTCAATTATTTCATATGGAAATAATTCAACATGATTAAGAGGAAATATTCCCGTTAAACCTTGATGTTCACCTTCAAGCCAATCATCATTAATACGACGTTTAACAAGTATGGTATCGCCTTTTTTAAAAGGTAATTCTCTTTAAGAAACAAATAGATAAATATTATTTTAAAAAAAAAATCATCCATTATACCTATCAGTTTCAGGATAAAAATTATGTAAAGCAAATGCTTTATAAATTGGTTGAGAATCATATATTCGACTTAAATATAAGAAATATGATACGAAAATTCAAATAATAAATATTAACTTACGATTGAAGTTTTTGTCGATTTAATTCCAAGAGATCATAGTCATGTCGTTCATATAATTCATTTGATCGTTCATTTGGTTTTTCTATAGAATAAATTATTTATAAATCATTAAAAAAAAATCATGATTAGTCAATGATGAATCTAGGATTCATCTTATGTCATATACACTTTTGTGTTTGTAAGTAAAGCATCATTGCTTTTTTTCTAAATCTTTCATAATTTAGTTTAGTAAGTATATTATACACACAAACGAAAAACTTACGAGACTGATTATTATCAGAAAATGATGATGATTTAATAGTAGAATTAGAACGATTTTTATTAAAGCCAAAAGATGGCTCTATGAAACGTTATCACAGATCGATAATTACCCTTATCTTATTTACTTACCAACATACCATTTAAATTCTACAAGATGAAAATATTTAAAAAATAATTATATCTCATTTAATCTTCAAATAATATACTTCAGATCCATACAAAAATATCCCGAGAAGAGAAGGGGAGAGGTTACGTCAATCTTGAAAAATTTGCATTTTTTCCCAGCGAAGTTTTCAACGTTTTATTGGTTCCTTTTTTGCTCCCAAATCCAAAAAAATGCTCGACCTCGAAACACACGTGGATGAATAATTTTTTTTTAATCGAGTCTGATGAGAATTCATGTTATATACACATTTGTTATTATTATTAATCTAGTACCCTGTTATATAAATTAAAAAAACATACGTCAATAGAAAAAATAATAACCTTGCTTTGTTCTAACAGATGTTGTTGAATGCTTTATCGATCGAAAGTATGGTTATATAATATTCCAAGAAACATATATATATATATATATATATATCCACTAGAAGCATATTCATCCACTTGAACGTTAAGTATAAGCTAGCAACTATTTCGATATGAATCGAGACAAGTGATAGGTTACATAAGCGCCTTCATCGATAGCGACGTAATGTATAATATACATATACCCTATATCTTTTGTTACTATCATTCTATCAAAGATGTGCAACTATTCTAATGAGACAGTCGCTTACACATTTTCGTTCTCATGTTTACTTGGTATATATATGTATATATCACGGCATAATATAAAAAGTAATGCTTTATATTCCTATTACGAAAAGACAAGTGCATTTCTACTCAGTTTAAAAATAGTCGGTAACGATCGATTAATCTAGATAAAAAAAATGTCAAAAAAAACGAAACAAACGAATATAAGCATATATAGACGAAAGGGAAGAAAGATAGTTAAATGAGCATTGTGTTTTTTTTTTCTATTTCTTTTTCTCGAATAATCTTTCTTCTTTGATTTTCAAGGCTACGCCTGATTTGTTCGATTACTAATAAAAACATCATCTGGTGATGAAACACCACTTCGATTTGTAGTTGATGTTGTTGTTGAATACTTCATATTATTAGATGTTTGTGGATAATCCCATTCATCAACAAGTAAATTAGGTGTTATTTTATATTCACGTTGAAGTTTTGTACGTAATGGACGATAATCAAACGATTTTGAATGACGAACATAACTTTTACATTCTGGATTAGGACTACTTTGAACTGTACGATGATGATAAGGACTACGATGTGTATAATAAGTTGATGCATGTACAGTTGATGGTGGAATGTTATGTTGATAACGTGATTTTGGTAAAGAATTAGAACAATAAACTGGTGGTGATGATGGAGTAGAAGTATTACGATTTGACATTGTACCATATCTTTCTGATTGATATTGATCATAGCGTGAATGACGACTACTTGATGGATAATTTGGTGATGTTCGCATTTGTTCACTCAATGGTAAAGAATATATTTCACTTGGTTTCGTTTCACGAAAATCACCACCACGAAATACTTCAATATAATTACGAGATAAACCACCATATTCAGGTGACATACCACGACCACCATAATATACGGATGGTGGAGGTCGATAATAGGATGGACCTGGTGAACGATTATAATAATAATCATCATAAGGTGGTCGATTAGAATAACGATAATGACTATCAATTGGTACATAGTCATAGGTACGATGTGTTCCCGAACGTTCACTAACTGTTGAATCTGTCTCATAACCAGCAGCACCAGTTGGTGGTATAGCTTGATCAGCAGGATAAGAAAGTGGTAACCAAGCTAATTTAACATTCTGTTGATTTGGATAATGATATATTCGCTGTGATTGTTGTTGAGAAGAATTTTTTGATGAACGTTCATGTTCAACTGAAACAGGTATTGTTCGTCCACCTGGTGCATATTGTTCACTTAATTGTGGTACACGTCTATCACGTAATTCTAAATCTTCTCGTGTTACTGTTGTTGGTAATTTAGGTTCACCTTGCCATGTAGCATGTTGTTCATATTGTGGTAATGGATAACGACGTTCATCATCAATAGCGATATGTCTACCATATAAATATGGTGGTTCTGTCGTATAATATGCATATGCTTGTGCTGGTTGTTCACGTAGTTCGGATGGTGGTACCGATGATATTTTAAGTATACGTCCTTGTTCATCCATATAACGATAAATAACACGTGGTTTTATTGATTCAGATTGTAGATTAGTTTCTGTTTGATGAGAAGGCGAAATTACTAAATCTGGTTGTTTTAATAAAGGTTGTTGATAAACAACTTCATTTATAACAGGTACTGATTGATTAGTTAAAATGACTGGTTCTTTCGATTCAGCTGTTGTAGTCATGGTAGGTGGTGGCACAGTATTTAATGCAGCTTTTAAAGCAGCTGCATGATGTGTTTGAAGTTCACTGACAATTTTTACAAGATGATACAATGTCTGATTTTTTTCTACTATAGGAGTAGTAGTATCTTTTGGTGTTGTAGCCGCTGTCGTCGCTGTTGTAGTTGTCGTTGTTGTTGTTGTTGTTGCTACAACCGTATTTGGTGTTACTGATGATGGAATAGATTGGAGAGGTGATGATGGAGATAGTGGCGGATTAACTTTATACTTGACCAGATAAGGATCTGGCAGACGAAGTGATATTGGACTACTGATAATGGCATCAACGACTTGATAATCTTCATTTTTTGATTTTTGTTTAGATTTGGTTTTCGATGCTTTTTTATTTTCTTTGTCTTGTTTTTTCTTTTCTTTTGGATCAATTAATGGAGTTTGTTCGACTAATGCCGTTGTTGTAATTGGTTCTGTTGTTTGAGTTAATAATGATTCGGGAGCGTTAACATCAGATGTAACTACGGCTTGTTCGATAGTATCAGTTTTTGATGATGCTTTTTTCTTGGATTTTTTTTCCTTCGGTTTCTTTTCTTTTGATTTCTTTTTTGACTCTTTTTTTGTTTTTGTTTTTGTTGTTGTTGTTGCTGATTGTTTCAATGAATTTATATATTCTGGATTTCCTAAATTTGTTCGAATATCATTATAACGTTTATTTAATAAATTATGATATTTGCCATCAATTGTTCCTATAGGATTATAAACTAATGCATCGATAACAGCAAATTCACTTGTTATTGGTAAATTAGTTCGATCAATAAGAACATCAGATGGTGATGTTGTTAGTGATGATGAAGCAAGATTTTGATTTGTTACAGATGGTAAACGCTTATATTCATTAATTGTTGTTACATTATGTTCTTGTAGTACACGAGTTAAATGTTGTATAGCTTCATGATCATCAGTAAGACGTTCAACTTGTGCTTGTGCTTGATCAAGATCTGTTGCATGACCACTTTTAGTTATATTAACAATAGATGTACGTGAAATACTTGGTGTACGACGAACTTCATGATTTGAAGAATCTAAAAATACTTGATATTCTTCAGTACGTTCGATAATAACTGGTGTTTGTGAATCATTTTTATTTGGATTAATATTACTCATTTTTTGTAACTCCACGGCTTGTTCAAGTACACGATCAACCGATGGTGATTCATTTGATGACGAACTTGTACGATCATGAGTATTTATTTTTGGTGCTGCTGTTGTTGTTGTCGTAATTGTTGTAACTATTTTTTGTGCTTGTTGTTGTCGTGGTGGTGAATCATATGTAGGCGGCGGTGTTTTAAAACGTTGTTCGAAAAAGTCTCGTTTAGCATTAAAGGATTGTCGAGAATCAGGTGGTGTATCAACATTTGAAATATGCAATTCTTGTTGTTGTTGTTGATCTTCCAATATATGTCGAACATTTTGATAGTGATGTTGTAATTGTTGATTATATATATCTGTACCTTCAATACGTATTGGTCCAGAATCACTATCAATTCGACGTTTAGCAGCACGAGCCGATGTACCCATTAATGGTGGAGTATATGTACGTGTTGAACCAGACGTTGAACTTACAGTTGAAGAAACGGGATTAAGATGGTTATTAACGATTCGAACGAGTTCACTTATACCATGATCAATAGTTTCAGTAGTGTCAGTTTCAATTTTACTAATAGCTTTTTCGTCTGCCATTTATTTTAATACAACGAATATGAAAAGCGGCAATAGTTCCCGTTTTTTTTTTCTTCTTCTTCTTCTTCTTTGTCAATATGGTTGATCGCACAATTATAATGAATGACTGACACTCATTCGAATCTTCGTAATATGATGACAGTCCGGTATGTATATTATGTATGCACACTACCTGGCCGTTTGTCGCCTACTTTTTTTGTCAATGAGCCGTGGAAATGATAGAGATAAAGCGAAACGAGGAAAAAAAGAAAGGCTTGTTTCTATTTATCTACAAGTGAAGTGTTATGAACGGATATACATGTATATGTATATGTATATATATATATACTGAGCAGACAACGATGATAATCGATGTTGTTCTTAGTCTAATTATGTAGGTATGCTTTGAGTATATGAAGAGTAGTTCTTTTGACTATTCTTTCTTTGTCTTCTTGTCGTTAATTACTACTGAGCTCTATTTTCTTTTTTCTCTCCCTCTCATACGTATGAAAAAAAAAATACGCACATTCTCACAATGATCGCCATCGCAGTGTGACGCCGGGAGAATAGAAGAGAATAAATATGAAAAAATTGGCCAAAAAAAAAAAGAGGAGGAGAAAAGAAAGAGAGAGAGAGAGGGAGGGAGGGAGGAAGAGAGAAGAAAAAACAAGCGGAGAAAGCTAGAGTAAATGTACAGTGTTGATATATGGTTATGGCAATATTTCGCTTTAGATTTTTTTTTCTCTCTCGTTTCCCTCTCGTTCTTCTACTTCTCGATGCCTCTAGTCGTGTAAATATGTGTAAATAAGTGTTCTCTTTTTTATGTGCATGCGCATGTTATTGATGTTGATGCTCTGTCTGTGTGTATTCATATAAGCACACACACACACAAGAGCATATCGAATCATCATCAAAGCATTTCGAATGCACACGTACTTTTCGATCTTTTTTTCTCTTTTTATTTTTTGCAGTTGTTACGATGAACAACGCTCTCATATATTCTCAATTTATATTACTGTCACATAGTTGAATGTTACGCGAAATATTAAAAGTCTAAACAGATTGAATACAAAAAAGAAAAAAGAAAAAAAGAAATTTAGAATAAGTTGAAGTATGATATTTATAACGAGAATAAAAGAGACACATATACCAATCAAAAGAAAAACAGATCGATGAAATCAATTACTCAAAAAAAGATCAGAGTATGTGTATCGATTCAAGGCTTTCCTGTGAAATAGCTAGGCGATACACAAGCACAGGTGCAGATAGTAATCAACATTTCTAATTACTCTTCAAAAATCAATGAATAACTAGCTCGTCAGTATTGGTTTTTTATATACTACATTGCTTGCTTGTGTCGTCGAGGTCAAATATATTTATGCAATCTGCATGTTAACATACAACTCTTTTGCTCTTCTGCTTCTAGTTTATTCTCGTCTAATCACACATTATATTTATGGATATCAAACGACACGAGACAGATGTCTCATCATAACGAGGTCGAGAGAAACAAAAAACCTTCTCACTATCTCTCAAGGTTACCAAATGCTAACACTTTTTATAGTCATAGAAAAGATGAATGTGCATGCATATGTATAAGTGGGTTCTTTGATGATTTCGTTCATTGGTTTCTTTTCTTACCATATAACCATCTCAAGATGCAGACTTTTTGCGAAAGAAAAAGAAAAATTCAAACTAAATGTATTGATGAAATTGAAAGCATCTTGTATGATGTAAGCAGATAAAAACGAACAAAGAGTAACCTAGTTAAAAGGTTAAATGCATCGAGCCGCCACTTATTTGACACTTTCTAATAGAAATATACTGATAAGAAGAAGTAATAAAAAAAAAACGAGAGAATAGAAGACCTTCTTTCTTTTATTATTCTATCGATAAACTATTTACGGTTCTATTGTTAAATATTATTCATGTTAAGTTTAGTCTAATAAATTTATATTATGACTAATTTATTAATAAAATAAATATAATTTCTCTTACTGTAAGAATAAACATCATTCGATGTTAAAAGAAAATTTTTTGTACGATCAAAATTATAGATTTGTAAATTATCGGTTGGATGAATATGAGAAGGATAAGTTATAACATATCCACAACCATCTTCATGTATTTGTTCCAATTCATTATCATCTTCATTATTATTTATATTTTGAAAATATAAACATGAATTTATTTCGAAACGCATATTACTGTCGATTAAATCAGATAACTGACATGTTTGATTTTGCTCCCAATGTACAGAATAATAAGCAAATAATTTCGGTGAGGGTTGAAAATTATTTGTAAGAATTAAGGGACGCTGTCTTGATGAAGATGAAACTTTCATCATGAATTTGTAACAAAAAATGATCGTTCCTTTTCATTTATATTCCTCTTTTTTTTCTTCTTTTTTTTCCGTAACAGCTGTTGCAGATATTTTTATTCACATTAAAAAACAAAAGAAAAGAAATCTGAATGCCTACCTCGATTGTTAATAGAAAATTTTTGTAAACCAGCTGATGGAATATCTCCACCACGTAATATTCGTTTATAGATCGATTTTTGTTCATCATCTGTTATTGATGATGGTGTTCGTATACTAAGAATAGTAACAACCATAACGAATTATTATGCATCATTGAACTTACTAGTTAGTATTTGGTCTTGAATTGATCATTTTTGATGATGTCGAACCATCATTACTCTATTGAATTAATGAACAGATGTGCATATCAACTTATACATATATCTTTCTTTTGTTACTTACTGATTTAGCTTGTTCTATCGAAGATGCTGTCATTGTTGGTGATGATAATTGATCATCAACACGTATTAGTTTTTCTGGATTTCGTTTCGGTATTGTTTTATGATCTCTGCAATAAGAAAATAAAAGTACTGAAATATTGGTCCTTTGAATAATCTCTTACTTAATAGGTGTAGTTGATGTTCGCACAGGTGAAGCAGAGATATGTCCTATATGATATAATTTATTTATTTCAATACTTTATCTTTCTTCAATCTTACGATAATCATCGTCGATATTTTGCGAAGCTGCTTTTCGCATATAGTCTTCCATACGTTCTAAATTACCGTCAAATTCTTCAGGAAATGTATATGTTGGTTTATATGGATTTTGTTGTTCGTCTTAAAAAAAAAGAAGAAGAAATATCATTTAGACATGACATTTTTTTTTCAAATTAATTCTTTCATGCAATTGAATATGGATAAAGAAAAGATAACAGCATGCAATACAAACAGTAAGACCTATACATAGGAAGACAACGATGGGTCAATAGAATAAAACAAAAAAAAAAAAAGTAATTTCGATCCACAATAATAGATGTTTGGATACAATATTTAGATAACGATTTAGCATTTATCATATAATAGAAAAACGAAAGTTCATTTTTAAACATTCCTATTGTATTATGTATTACCGCAGTAAATGAGTTCAACTGTCTGTTATCGTTCATATAGAGACTATTAGAATGGATTGTATAAATGTAAAACTGTACATAGCATCTACTTGAAATTCATCACATATACAAAGTATTGTACGATACATTGAAAGCTATTAAGAGAATGTTGATGTACTTCATTCAACATTTTCATAAGTTCTCATAGGCAATTAAGAAGCATGAAGAAACAAAAATGGGAAAGCAAAATGGCTATTGATATAAGATGGTGAGAGAATAGGCTGTTAACAAACCTTGATGCTGATAATACTCTCGATATCGAGAAGATGTAGGAGGTAATTTGACAAGAAGGACATCTAAATCATGATTAGATATTTACTAGTTTTTCCGAGCTATTTTTATGTTGTTTGTTGTTTTTTTGTATATCATTAAAAACATAAATGATTAACAAAATACTGAAATATTTTTGTTTTGCATTAATTTACCTTTCTTATTTTCAGGTGTTTTGTGTAATTGACAATACATATCTTTGTACCACTGTGTTTGCGTCTTGTCACAAGCGATTGTTGACGGCTAGAAGAATACAATAGATTATATTTTCTATACGTATAAATTATCTTTTTTTTTTTTGAGTTTATGTTCGATTCAACACGATATAAATCTTTCTACATCTTAAGCATGTTTTGTCAGAGGTAAAAATAACGTTCATTCTCTTCCATGTCACGCGTTAACCTATTTAGCATATGACACTACAATGTCATATTTATACTCCAAACTTCTTACACTTTTTTTGTCTTTATCGGTTGTTGACTGAACAAATGTTCTTGTCTATCCTTCACTAGTTATTATACAATAATCAATTCTCACTAGACAACAGATCAAACAAGCAATAGTAATACAAGAAGTGTAAAAAAAAGAGAAAGAGTAAAGGTGAAAGTAATGACAATATTGTTATTGTTGGAAGGAGTATATTTGTATGTCATAAAAAAACGTCAAATGGCATATCATGCACGTATATTAGTTTATGTAATGATTGATGAGTATGATGTTTCGAATAAATCAAAAAAAATGGATAAATGTCTTTTGAAATGACATGTAAAATCTCAAAAATAAGAAAAAAACATGTCTTTTTAACACATTATAATTTAATATTTATCTTTTATTTATTATTAACTTTCTTTCAGAAGCGAGAATATATCTATACAAATAACGATAAGAAAAACATTGCATCTGATCATTTCATGAACATATACTTTTATGGTAGTAGTCAAGGTTTTGTATAACAAATATTAGTTAAAATAAAAAAACAACAAAGGCAAACTCTTTTCCTTGATGTTTGTCGAAGTATAAAGTTATTCAGTGAATACAGAAGAAAAATTTCAATAAGGCAGAAAAAAAGACTGCAAAAAAAAAGATTTATATATATATGTGTGTTATATTTGTGAAAGCAAAACACGACACTGATATCTTTTTTTTTTCTACTACCTGCTGACAGCGACAAGTAGCATTACGTTGAGGTAGTTTCTTTGTATCATCCATTATCAATAAGTATAAATCAAACTTCTTTTCTATGATATGATCGTGCTGTTGCAAGAATGTTCATACCGA